ACCAAATCCCATTTTAGAAAATCTAAACAAATCAAAACTAAAACCTAAAACCTCTTGGTTACTAAATAAATTTCTCTCTTTTCTCTCAAGAGTTTTTACATAATCTTTTTTTTTAATCCCTTATTTTGCTTTGATCACATATTTATATAAGAATTCATGCTCAATCAATTCCCCTTAAATCTGTGATTTTATTTGATTTTCATTTTAATGAGAATTGATTCTAAAATTAAATCTAAAAAATCTCTCTCCATCATTTTTAGTGCCAATTCATTTTGGAATTAAATCCCAAAAATCTCTCAACATCATTTTGATATGAATTGATTATGTAATTAAATCCCCAAAATCTCTCAATTATGGTTGAAGCCTATTTTCAATTTTGAAAAAATATTCTCAGACAAAATAAGGTGTCTACACTAATAGGTTTCAGTTTAGGATGTTTGACTTAAAATTTTCAAATTCAATAAGTAAAACTTCCTAAAAGCATATCGATGTTTGACTTTTTATTTTTATCCTAACTCTAATGCATTTTCACTACTTAGATCTAAGCTAACGGCTGTAGGAATGTTAATGGGTAGGATATATATAAAGAAGAGTGTTTTCCATCCCTGTTTTTGAAATTTTATATTATATCCATCCTATACTCATACCTAATAAATATTTTAAATTTATCATCATTCTCATCTCCACAGGCATTTAGAGGATATGAGTAATTCTCATACCGTAACTTTTTAAAAAAACAAAAACAAAAACTTATTTTTTTAACTTTTTTTAATCTTATATATTTAGATAATTTTTTTTATAAATATATATTAATATATATTTTTCATTAAAAATATATTAATTCTAATTAATCTAAATAATAATTTATATTATTTAATAAAAATATTCACTAAATATATATAATATATGGTACAAAAATGAGATAAGTATTATATTACTCGTCTCAATCTCTATACCTAATAAAAATTTAAAATCATATACTTTTTCTTTCTCATATTCATAATATAGTATCTATCTTGATCCATATCCTCATTTAGATAAAAAATTAAATTCTTCATCGGATATGATTAAAATTAATATTTTTAAATGACAAATATATATATATATATATTATATATATGAAAGTAAATTTGAAGTAGTAGCTAACTAATATTGTCTTTCTGAGTTGAGGATAGCTAGTAAAAGTTATTAAATTAGGATCTAGTCATGAAATGCAGAAACCAACATGGTAAGAAAGCTCATCGTGAAATGCAGATACCCTCACGGTGAGAGAGCTCCCACCACGCATCAAATCAAGCCTTATTGGCGTGAAGCAGCCAAAGAAGATAAATGTACGTTTGCTCAATGCGCTTTCGTTTCCACAATTATTCAAAGATTTGCAGCACAAGAGCTCATGTATGTTTTATTATGAGACACCACAAAAATATCTTCTATATATCCTGCTTGGTATAATATCTACTTAATTTAGCCTCATTTGCCCTAAAGGACACAAACCGTACTAACATTTTCCAAAAACAATAAAAAAAATCAATGGCCCTACTAACGCCGGCCAACTATGTTTGTTTCGCTTCAAAATCTTTAAATGCAACAACGAGATAAAACATTTTGCTTTAAAATTCAATCATAAAATGCAAAATTCAGCGAAATGGGAGAACTCTCGAGGACTCTCTCAAATTGAACCTTAGTAGAAACTTTTAAATAAATTTAATATTAAGATTTAATGTACTTTTTATTCATGTAAAAAAAAATCAAATCGTGGATTATCTTTTAAATTAATTAATATGTTACTAAATTTTATATTTAAAAATTATAAATTTTAAAAAATTTAAATATGTAATATCATTTTTAATTAAATATATAATAAAAAAAAAAATCCAATCAAAACATTCCACACCCCTACCGGCCTAGCCCACTGCTCCCCTAGTCTTGATGCGAGGAGATAAACAAAGGAAGATAAATATCCCATTGGTTTGGGCAGTTTGTAATTGGTTGAAAGCAACCTTCTACACCTTTTCGGCCAACAACTCAACGTGTTGAAGCATACGCCACAGTCCACACACTGTGCAAAACAAAAGACGACGACTGTTTTCAAACCCAAATCTTTGCTAGATTACTTGTCTTTAAAAATATAATAAAAAAAGACTGCTTTAATTATCAAGTCAAAGAATTTAATTTTTTTACATACTCTTTTGATTTTTTAATTCACTTGATTACCTGGAATCGATCTCTTAGAATGCAATATAATATATATATATATGTAAATAAATCATGGGTATGGCCAGTCGTTTTGATATGAAAAGTAAAGAGACTAGAATTGGTGTTGGTTGTCGTTCTCATTGAAATTTTGTTGGTGTTTTTCTTTCTTTCGGCTGTTAGGTTCGTTGAATTTCTGCATTTGCGTATAAGTTTTGTGATAGTATCTCTTTAGTTATTAAAATGCTTAATGATTATATCTTTTTTAGCACATTTTCTTGCGTTTATATTGTTATTCAACAGACAAGTTGAATCTCATACAGTTTTCCCAACTACAATTAGCTTTAAGAAAATAAAAACGTGTCTATTTTAATAGACATATTGAATATCTTTACTAAATTATTGTCAATATCACAAAGTTATTGGAAACAAAAAAAAAATTGATGAGTTGAGATCTCGTTTAATTGATTTATAAAATTATTTTTAAAAAATAATTAATAAATTTATTATCTAAATTTTAATATTTAAAATTTTTTATTCTCGTATTATAATAATTAAAATAAATATTTAAATATTTAATTCAATAACGGACACGTAATTTGTTTTTGTTAAAAACATTGAACCTTTCATTTTTCAAACGTAGGCTCAACGGCTCAATTTTTGTCTCATCAAAGAACGAAAATAATAAAAAGTAGTAGCATCTAAAAAGAAGTTTGATGATGAAAGCTTGGGCGGGGGGCAGGAATCGCAATCAGACCAGAAAATTAAACAATTATTTCGAAGGATCTGGGGCCGATTGTTGTTCGATGGAGATTCTAAAGCAGATAGAAAGAGGGAAAAAAAAAAACAGGGGGCAGTGGTCAGTGGTCCTCGGACCGATATTTAGGACCACAGTTTTTTTGTTAGGTATCCATCAAAAAGAATCAGATGTTGGAAACAAACTGACCCCTTCCCCCACCCATCGTGTCTCTAGGATTTTACAAGTGTCCGATTTCGTACCATCCATGGCTATAGCTTTCGACTTTAGAGGATCTTCTTTACTTCAATTCATATTTAGGGTTTAGGGTCCTAAACCTGCGGAATTTGGATATGTATGGAAGAAAAATCGAAAGATACTATATTATAACAATTGTTTGAATCAATTGGTGAATTTAAGATAAACATTAGTAAAAAACAAAAGTAAAATAAAAGAAGAAAATATTTTTTAAAGGAAAACATATATGTATCATTTATTTAGATAATTAAAATTAATAAAAATAAAATAAAATAATTATAACAATAATTATTTAATTAAATAATAAAAAATAATTTATTATATATTTTTTTATTATAACATTTGATAATTTTTATTTTTACGATAACATTTACATGTTTATTTATGTTAACATATTTTAGGTTTTTAAATTTTTTTTTATTTTTTTATAAAAATAGTTTTCAATGAAATTTATAAAAATAAGAGAAAAAATTAGAGACAATAAATTTATTTATAAATAATGATTTGTATTATTAATCTAATTTTAAATTTTAAAATCAGAAAATTTTAATTTAGAAAAATTAATAAAGACATAATAATTATTTTATATTTTTAAAGTTTTATTTTATTTCTTTTCCCTTCTTTTTCCATCAATTTAGGATAATTAAAAAATAAAAAAAGTTATAAGAAATCAAGGAGAGCTAAGCATACATTTATTTTTTTAATTTTTATTTATATCATACACAAATAAATGAAATGATTCTCCATTTATTTTTGTTTTCTTTCTATTTATTTCTTTTCTCTCCTCTTACCTCAATCCAAACATATAGGTTAAAGGGCAAGTAGGGGCCATAACCCCTCAAAAAATTTTGCTAATATTATAGTATAAAGTTCGATCTCCCTTAATATAAAACTCGACCCCCTTTCTCAATTTAATTTACTATTTCGATCCATTTTCATGATATTACCAGTTTCATCCATGGTCTGAATCTACGTTCAATATTCAATGAAGTGAAGGAAAAAAGGTTTCACAAATAATGTAACAGAAGCTTTCCATAGTCTACCCTTTTATGTCAAAATTCAAAATTCATGAGCGTCCAAGGCCCATTAGCTTGGGGCCTTTTCAACTCAAAATGATGCATCGTGTTTGGGCTCAACAATTGCAAGATGCTATTGTGACTTGAAAAGGCCTCTCAATGTATTTTCTAATCGAAGCATAAATTTGTTTTCGGGGCCTTTTTATTGGGCTCATGCACGACTAAATTACTGTATTTTTATACAATTTTTTGGGCCAATAAAGATTAATTATCATTGGATCTTATATAGTTGATAAGATGTAAAATTGCCTTCCTTCTTGAAATAATAATTTGATGATATTATGATTTTCTTTTATAAAGAAAGTCGTAAATTTTTTGTTAGACTAATATTATAGTGGAAAATTTTATTTTCTGTTTGGTCTTATAATTTTAGTAAATTTTATTATCGATGGTTTTTTTGTCAAAAGAATTTTCTTGTCGGTGTTTGGTAATTTATTTTTGAAAATTAATTAAAAATAATGAAGATTTAATAGGTTATAAGCCAAAACCTTTAACGGTGTACAGTATAGGGTTTCGGTTTTCCTTTTTCTGGTTTAAAATGAATATTTATAAAATAAAATAAAAAAACCAGTAACAGAAGAATTTTTACTGCCATGAAAAAGAAGAGAGCCCAAAAAGCACCGGTGGGTAACTTCTTTCTCAGTTACCACTATGCCACATCATCACACGGTAAGTCAAAACACGCAATTTTATTCGCCTGTGACGCACAGCATTGTAAGAGCTTCATTTCTCCCTTCTCCAATTTTTCCTATAAAATATTAGTTAAAAAAAAACGAAGATGAGTCATGACAGCTAGAGCCAAACAAGGAAAAAAAAAACATCTTCAATTGATTTTCCATTTTCTCGCGATCAGTTGTTAAAGCACGTGCTCTGCACTGCAGTTTATACTAACAGAGAAACAGAGAAAATGGAAAGAGAGATCTGCGTGAATTGCTAAAAATCTCTTATTTCTTCTTCTCTTTTTCTCAAAAAAAAAAAAAAAAAATCAAGTAATGGCCGATGAACCTTCTCTCACTCGCTGGTCTTTTCTGGTATTCTCTCTTTTTTCTGTTTGGTTGCGGAAATAACCTAAGCAAAGAAAAATTAAGACTTCACTTAACTGAACTGCATGAAGTTACTTCACTTACTTCGATTGACTTTGCTTTTTTTCTTTTAAGAAAATTTTTAGTCATTTTTTAGCTTAGATTGAATCGGAATAAAGATTTTTTTTTTATTTTCCCTTTTTTTGTGTTCTTTGAATTTTTGAATTGTGATCTAATTGTACGGAGAAATGTGGAGAAGAAAAAGAAAAAAAAAATGAGTTTAAGCATTTTCTTGAAGCAATTATGTTATTATCTATAGGATTTTAAAATGTTTTATGATGCCAAGTTTGGGAGGAAGAGATTACCTGAGCCACAAGATGGCGAAGCTGCTGATACGCGACTCTCGAAAGGAACTTCTTCGAATGTGACCTCAAATGGGAACCATTCTGTCAAGAACACGTCGGATATGGCTATTTACGAGCAGTATCGAAACCATGTAATCTTTTAGCCATTGTGACTTTTTAAATTTAAATGCTTTGTCTTTTTAAGAAAATTTGTGTTTCTTGATTGGAATGATCTATTATTTTGTTTCGGCTTCAGGGCACGAACTCGGTGCACTCAAATGGTGTGGTGTCTAATGGATTTGACTCAAGACCGTATGTTCATTCCTTCCTGTGATTCGTGACCTTAATACATTTGTTTAGTTACACTTATAATGTAGTATGGATGGATCTAAGTTTGGCTTGTATATGTATAGTTCTCACGTTGATTACACAGATTAATGTTCTTCTGTTTGGTGTTGAATCCTAATGAATACTGAGAATCAAGATTTGGTTCTCCTTTTCTATAGAAAATGATGATTTTGATTTTTTTTTTCAGGCAGAGGCCTCTGCTTCCTGCTTTTGAATCTGCAGAAATGCGTGCTTTAGGAGAGAGTTTAAGTAGGTAATCATTATTATTATTATTATTATCAGAAACTTCATTGGTGATAGAAATGAATTGGTGTTCTTTAACATTTTAACTTGAAATTTTTTCTACTTCATATCACCTTACAATCATATCCAATTATCCACTATAGGGACATTGTACAAGGGAACCCAGATGTTAAGTGGGAAAGCATCAAGGGATTAGAGAATGCCAAACGTTTACTTAAAGAAGCGGTTGTTATGCCTATAAAATATCCCAAGTAAGTCTTGCTATGGCATAGACCATGAACTCTGTGCACAGAGTTTCACTAGTCTTTTATTTCCTTGAAAAGGATGACTGGTATGTTGACTGGTATTGCCTCAATTTTCTCACTTGATTGTGCTAGCTTAGGTTTGGGGTTATAAAAATCCGGCATTTCTTTTATTTTTGTTATTTGCATTGCATTTAAACCTACCCTTATGCAGTTTCCCCTATGTTTAAGTTTCATTTTGTGCATATGAAGCAAATAAAGTGGCAAGATGTCTGCCTGATTGAGTAGAAATCTGTCATATGAAAATTGGAGAGACTGAAAGTTTGTGTACTTGTCCTGCATATCAATGCCGGCACAGAACTTAATAGAACTACAAAGGACAACAGCTTCCTTTCCTTTCCAAGGTTATCAAGTTAATAAGATTCCAAAGCTAGTCCTTTCAAAAGTGCACAGGAAATATTTGGCAGGAGTTCTACTTTTTGCTCTTGATTGAAAAGAAAAGTGGAGTTGTGACTTGTGAGGGCTTGGGTCTTATAAAAGCTATTGCTCTGAAAAGTGCATCAGATATCTTACAAGGGGATTCAAACTTTTCTTCAGAATGCTATGGATGTATTGTTCACATTTATAATATTGGTCCATTTGTTGCTTCTCTTGCTCATACTTGAGATCAATGGGAATATTTTGTCAAGCACCATGAGGGTTTTTACTTTGTCAAATTGATTTAATGAAATGTTGATGAAACATTCAATAATATGTTTTGAAGGACTCACAATTGATTTCATTTCTTCTAGGTACTTTACTGGTCTTCTTTCACCATGGAAAGGTATTCTCCTTTTTGGCCCCCCAGGGACAGGAAAGGTCTGTATTTTGTTCAATTGTTTCCAATAAATTGATGTTGTCTTATGCAAGCTATCTTCATAATGTAGTAGATATGCTAGATATTTGGTTAATATGAAGGAAACGTCTTTCATAGTCACATCGTAAGTTTCAGATTGACAGTAGGTCACAATCGCCTTGATACTGGAAGAAAAAATTATGCATCTGGCAAAATAATTTGCTAAATCTTAGTAGTTCTTATTCTTTCTTTTCTTTATCATTGATGCTAGTTTCTATTTGAATCACTAATTTGGTTGCAGACAATGCTAGCACGGGCTGTTGCAACAGAATGCAAGACCACATTTTTCAATATTTCAGCATCATCTGTAGTCAGCAAATGGCGTGGTATGTTAAAAACAAGCTTTCCAAGATCTTATTTGATTGTAAGGGACTTGGTCCTAGGTATGAAAGTTATGAAGAAATGTCTCTAAAATGGAGAATGGCCAGATATTTATTGTATTTATAGCAAATGCATCTTTGACTATCAAATTATATTTTCTGATTATTCCTTAATTGTAATGGCATTCAAAATTTTAAGTGACAAGAACAGTAGGAGTTTTAAATGTACTCGTATTAATGTTCTTAATGAAGGATCATTTCTTTTCTTTCTTACCTCTATTTTATTTTTTATTTTTTTTTTCTATAACTAAAATCTACTGAATGGGGAACCTTACATGACAAAAACATTCTTCTCCAATTAGGTTGTGGGAATTTGCTCTGGATATGGTTGTTTGGAGATAAAAATAGACTGGATTCACTTTATATTCTGTTCAATTAGAATTTCTTACTCAGCAGAAGTAGAATCATTATTGATAAAATTCTTTGATAAGCTATTTAAGATCATAATAGGAGCCAAAGGACCTGTTGGGGCCTGACCCAGTAACTTCTATGGTTGTTAGCAGAAACAGCATTCAATTATCTAACTGCAGAGTTCATAACATTTCAGGTGATTCTGAGAAGTTAATAAAAGCACTTTTTGACCTAGCAAGGCACCATGCTCCATCTACCATATTTCTTGATGAAATTGATGCCATTATAAGTCAGCGTGGCGGCGAAGGACGCAGTGAGCATGAAGCAAGTAGGCGTTTGAAAACTGAGCTACTTATACAGGTGACGTTTGTTTCTTAAATGTGTTCTTATTTTTGTGGGCATAAATCTATGTGTATACATGTGTGCATGTGATTATATTAAAATTTGGATTGATAATTCATGCATATTAATTAGAGACATTGCAGGACTGCTGAGCAATGTTTAAAAAGATATCTGGTGGTATAATTATAACTTGGTGGTATAAATGTCACTTGCTTATTTTATTTATATCTTTCACTCTAGAATCAAGTGACATAATCATCACTGGAAATTAAGCCATGAGATATTTTGTCCTTTGACATAAACTGGTTCTGCAGCAGCTTTAACAGTGCATTCTTGTTTGTTGTTCGCAATAATTAGAAATAAAGTGCTTAAATCAAACATGTAGTTGCAATGTTCCATACTAGAAGTAGTTAGTCTATCATGATTTACAAATGAAATCATGTTAGTTTTCAACTGTACTCTCTCAAAAATTGATCAGTTGAGTTAGATTGCAGATGGATGGTTTGACACGGTCAGATGAGCTCGTGTTTGTTTTGGCGGCTACAAACCTCCCTTGGGAATTGGATGCAGCCATGCTCCGTCGTCTTGAGAAGCGAGTATCCTTTGACACGTAAATTTATTCTGAATTTTGCATACAATATTAAGAAATAGGTTAAGGTTCTAATATTGATATTTAATTTTGGATGGACAAAGAAATTTGCTCACCAAAGTGGGAAAACATCTCAAACTTTAACTTTGACATGATTACATTGTGGTGTAAATCATTTTATAGTGTTTATGATATCTCTGAACTGTTTGGTCTTGTCTTGTAAGCTGCTTTTCTGTCACTTGATACTTACAATTAAATTTGATAGATCTTTTATATGAGTAACGAGAAAATTCAATATATGCTATTAATGAAGCAGTTTGGCTTTAACCACATTAAAAAAGATCCTTGTTCCTCTTCCAGAGCCAGAAGCAAGAAGAGCAATGTTTGAAGAACTTCTGCCTGAACAGCATGGTGAGGATGTTCTTCCTTACGATATATTAGTGGAAAGGTCAGAAGGTTACTCAGGTTCAGATATTCGGTTACTCTGCAAAGAAGCAGCCATGCAGCCTTTGAGACGCTTAATGGCAGTTCTCGAGGATAGGAAGGAAGTAGTGCCTGAGGATGGTATGTGTTTCTATATTTTACTAAAAGGTTTCATAAACTAGATAATGAGTTTTGCAAAATCAATTTTCTTCCCTAAATAGAACATCAATGTATAGTGTGGCTTAACATCTTATCCCGTAAGGCCTTAATTCTTTTTGGCCAAACGTTTATTCCCTTTGATTTTCCTTTCTTTTCTCTGTTTAGTTCAGCAAAGCTGAGAAAAAATCCATGTGCGAATACAAATAGACGAGAGATCACCAGAAGAAAAGAGACTCTTCTGTCCCATAATTTTTTTTCCTGCAATAAAAGACGATTTATATTCTTTTTCCCTCGTTCTGAATGCAGCTTTTATTAATCTTAAAATTTATTTATTTTTTGTTAGTAATGAGTAACTCAAAAAACTAGTTATTTTTTTGTTGGTTTGCAGAGCTGCCGATGGTTGGGCCAGTTACACCTGATGACATAGAAAATGCTTTGAAGAACACAAGACCGTCAGCTCATTTACATGCTCATCGCTACGAGAAGTTCAATGCAGATTATGGCAGTCAAATACTCCAATAACGGCACGCTGTTGCAAAAGCCCTTCTAAATTGTCAGATATAACTTTTCCGCATTTTCTGATCATCAGTTTCTTATCAATTTTTCCTCAGCAATGAGTTTATTTATGGGAAACTAGAATATATTTTTTCATTTTTCAAGTGGTTTCAGCCCTTGAATTGTTTTTTATTGGCTCCAGTTTTACTGCACCTGAATTGCCTTTTATTGGTTCAAGTCTTACTGAGTTTGATTCGTCATTATTGGTTAAACAAGGAAAAAGCATCGATTTATTTGCAAAGATACTTCATAGCAAGAACAAAAATGCCAACACACAACGTAAGTGTCACTACAACTTGAACGCCAAGCTCACATGCTTGAAGAAACACAAAAATAGGCCATTGTAGTAAAATATCTATAGAAAGACATTTCTTGTGTATCTCCTTTCATATCCGATTCAAGGATAACCCTTGAGAGGATCTGCTGTTTTGCCAGATCTTGCATCAGTCCACGCTTTAGCAATTGTTCTCTTCATTTCATCATCCCCTTCCTCGTACATGTTCTGTAATTTGCACATTTCAATGTCAAGGGATTAAAGTGGCAGTAATCAGCCATTAGAGATTTGTTGTTAAACACATGCTATTATTCAGGAAGTAAACGTACCTTCATTAAGTCCATGATTCCAGCCATAGGATCTCGGTCTTTATCCAAATTTGGCTTCAGCTGTGTAAAAAAGAAAAAGTACTTTAGTTCAATTGTGAAGCATGAAAGAATAACCCTTGCTCATCCTATTGTAGGCAAATTACCTTGTCTTCCTTGAAGTGAAGATCAGACCAATTCCCTTTAGAAGCTTTGAACAATGTTATGATGGCTCTTGTTGGCTTAACTACCACCTTACACTTCTCTGGTACAATTTCCTTGTTCAATTTTGGAGCAGCACATCGATAGTTCTTTCCTTGGACGTCATGAAATTTGATATCAAATGACGTTGGCTTGAACTCTGTCTGAATTTTTTCCTGGTCAACTCCTTCCAGAGAGACATATATCTGTCGGACAAACACAACACATGCCAAAATAAGAGAATGAATAGAAATGCAGATAACTCAAGAAGCTCCTATCCCGTCATAGAGAACATGATTTGATGTCAAAGTCAATTGATAAACCGAAGTAAAAGATTTTGTTATTCGATCATTCAATGAATTATATTTCTCTTTCAGGTTGCAATGTAAGGAACTAGAAATCTGTATTGAAATGACAGACAAAACGATGGAAAAGGATTAAATCCCTAGGAACATCAATATGTTACCTTGACTTTATCATTATCCTGATCCCAGCTGAACGAGGCGAGTGTAACATAACTCAATCCTGGGTTAACTGGAACTTTAACTGAGCTTGATATGGGAGTTGGAATTTGTGAAACAGTAGCAGGAGCAGGTGCACTTGCATCCTCTTTCGATGTCTGCAACTGATGAATTCCAAAAAAAAAAAAAATTATAAAAAATCAAGAAAAATACCAAACACTTTCTTCAACAAACTAATTATGAAATTAAAATAGAAGAATCAATAGTGTCAATATGATATATTTAACGGAAAAAATTATTTTGTTAAAAATGGTTTTCAGCCATTCCCATTGAATTTCAAACTTGGAACAATCAAAAAGATGAAATCTTATAAATTGAACAAGTACCCCCTGGAAAAAGCCCATTAATAACTCAGAAATTAAAGTAAAAAACTGAACTTGGAACTCCTAAACATGCAAGGGAAATTATGACAATATCGAAAACTAGAATCAATATAAGGCATCCCATTTCATTTAAAACATCAAAATTTTCAATACCCAGGAAAAAATAATATCGTAATAAGAAAAAGGATAATAAGAGAATGAAAGAGAAACCTTTTCCAAGTTATGAATCTCAGAGGTAATAAGAGATAGAATACGTGGTCTCTTTGCAATGCTTTGAAGTTGCTTTAGCTCCGCCAAATCCAGCGCCAATTCCTCTGCCATTTTCCTGAACTCACTTCTTCTTTTTGGCTTTTTAGTTTTTATCAGAGAGAATATGCAAACTGATCAAGCGAGACTGCTTTTATGTGGAATATAATGGAACACGGTAAAGGCAGTTTTAGGAATTTTCTAGAATATGGGTTTTTTTTTTTTTTTTTTAATATACTCACATGGTTAGGGTTTTGGAAGAAGAAAGAAAATTCTAGAGTCTTTTTGCATGGTTTAAAAATGGAAAATAAATGAACAAGAAAAAAGTTCAAGGGTTAATGCTTTGGGCTCAGTCAACTAGTTTTGGGTCTAAAAGTTCTGAAAATTGGGTTTTTTGGGGCCAAAATATTGGGTGTCCAACCCAACTTAGAAACCAATTAGCCCTCATTTTTCTATCTTTAGCCTATAGCATAAATCTTACCCATTTTGGATGCTCTGATTATCTTATCTGAAGCCCATAGCACGATGATGAACACGACACACACTAAGAAGGAGGTGGAGATGGCAAAGATGGGGATATTGAGGAGGCTAGAAATCGGATAGTTGATCATGGGGGGGGGGGGGGGGGGAGGTGCAAGAACGATATTCGCGTGGGGGAAAGGCTAATATTTCGGTATGAAATTTGTTATCGTTTTTAGCCTTTTTCTTTTCTTCGTCAAAGAGGATATGTAACACTATGACTTGCATTTGAAATCTTAGTTCAAACCCCACCTCTCAACCACCAAAGCTGAAGTGAACTCTGTTGGGCCTATCTCTTTTTCTTGGTAAAAGAAATGTAATGAAGGTACTAGGACTATATGAATTCTGACTTCATCCTTCATATTTTGTCTTTCCGTCCAGGTAAATCTGACATTTTTCGTCTATTAGCTGACACTAATTATATATATTCCCATATGGATTGCACTCGGCGAGGCTATGGTCTTTCTTTCATGCGCAATTTTTATGCACCTTTTACCTTACTTGTATGGAAAAGAATTCGTCAGTCCAATCACTGAGGGATGAAATTTATACGCAACCCAACCACATGGATAAAGATAGACTGGAATAAAGCTCGCCATATTTGTTCAAAGGTTTGTCTCGTTGATATTGTTAATTTTAAACTGGAAATAATACTGCTGTTCAGATGAGACGAACTGGGATCGGATAGACTGGTGAAGATGATGTTTTTGAATTTTCCTAAGCCTGACAATCTTATTATTGGTTTCATATTCGAGCATGCAGTAAACCTGCAAAGAAATGAAAATTTATGCATGGTTTCAGCCTGATTTTTATTCAGCTTTTACTCCTGATGTCTCCCTCTTCAAGAAGGGTCATAAATCCACAACATTGATTGAAGTTCCAAAATATTGTTCATTCCTAGCAAACCAACAAAGAAACTCCAAAACCCGGTAATCGCTTGGCTTCTATACAAGCTTCATGAACCTGTTATCCTGTTTGCAATCTTGTTCTTGTCACTGGACACCTTTGTTTTTCCACCTCTCTGGTTTGTGCAACCAACCTGCTTTTGCAACTCCACTCTTATTTGGTAATTTGAAGCCAAACTTTTTGTTAAACTCTCTTTCATAGCCAACAGTTCAGCCCTTTTCATCTCTGCCTCAGCTATCTCAGGATTTCTCAAACACCCGTTGTTGCCTTGAAGTTCCATGAAAGTTGACTTCAGCTGCAAGAACACATCAGTCAAAATTGACAAATTCCATGAAATCAAGTTAGGTAACTGTATCTTCAACAAGAAACCTCAATAGTTAAAAAATTTACCTCATTTGCATAGCTCCTCAATTCTTGCACTCGAATTCGAGATTCCATAAAAAACTTTTCCGCATTTTCCCTAAACTCGTTGATTTCTGAACTTTTCCATTTGTAAAACTTGTCCTTCTCCTTTTCCACCTCTTCAAGCTCCTCAATCTCACTTTTCAAAACCCTAAGATTCAACGCAGTGCAAAATTTACACCAAAATCTACATTACCCAATGTAAATCATGTAGAATTATCATAAACTTAAAATTTTTACTTCAATTGTCGAGAACTGGAATTATATTTGGCCTCGAGGTTTTCAATTTCAGATTTGAAAGCACAGATTTTAAAGTTTTGCGAAGCGATCTTTTGTTCAAGAAACAAGCATCTTTGTTCCATGGATCGAATACGAGCCTGCTTCGATTCCAAAATCTGAGATCTGTTTGCTTGAAGCTCTTTCTCCGCCTGTGAATGAATTTGAAGACACAAAATTACAACTTCCAGGCATTTGTTTCCTCGGAAGCCATACAGAGAAGTTAAGTTTAGATTTGACCTGAAGGAGAATTAGGCGTTGGTTTCTAGAATGTTCCATTTGTTCGAATCTTTCTCGAAACGCATAGGAAAGCGCCATCGCCGTTCCGAAGGTTTTCTATCATCTAAAATGCGATGTTTGAATTTGTGAATTTATATAGGGGCAAAAATTGGGCCGCCATGGCCATGGGTCCGGCCGGTTTGAGGAGTTAAATGTCTGGCTCAAGACATAAGCTCGAGCTTGACTCCCCCTCTCTCTCTCTCTCTCTCTCTCTCTCTCTCTCTCTCTCTCATTTTCAAAATTAGCCTTTTGTTTTTTTTAATAAAGAAAAAAATTATCGTAAATAATTGCATTATTCCTTTTTTTTTTGGGTAATAGTTAAAGTAGAAAAGGAAGAATTGGAGTTTAAAATCTCTTTTTTTTTTTAAATATTATTATTATTATTTTATATATTAATACACGTACATATATATATATAAATATAATAATACATGCATAAGTTAAATTTAAAAAATTATTATTGAGTTTTAAGTGGATAGAATGATAATTAATTTAATTTGAAAGAAAGGTGACTTCCACTCTGGGGATATATACATCAATCACTAAATGAAATATTCGAGGAAAATAAATAATGTATTTTTTTTTAAAAAAATAATATTTTAATATTTAAAAGTATTAGAGAAGATGACTACCCTAAAAATGAAATGAGATTAAATTTGATAATTTAAAATACAATACGATAACATAGCATAAAAATAATATAAATAAAAAATACAAAAATAATATGATTTAAAATTTTAGCAAAAATTATAAATAAATTTAACAAAATCAAAAATATATATTTCATAATTTTTGTACCGATAAAAATTATGACATATAATTTTCATGTGAAACATAATTTAAATATATAAATTTTTAATATTTTATACAATATCAACATACAAATTACTAAATCTAGATAAGACTATTGAAAAATAGGAATTGTGAAAAAAAAAAAAAAAAAAGAAGTCCCATTAGGTCCGGAGAAAAAGAAAGGATTTTCATTGTATATAGAAAAGGGAGAATCTTTCTCTTGTAAGAGAATCTTCCTCAAATTTTGCCTAAAACTAAAGCTAAATCCTTAAGAAACCCTAATCATCTGTAAGAGAATCTTCCTCAAAATTTTCATTATTAGTAAGGATTTATTACTATAAAGAGAGCATATGGAAGTCCACCTCAAAAGGGAAGGGTGGTTTGATGATGCGGTTGTTGGTCAGAAAGTATTGGGAAAAGATCTTCATGAATAATTAAGGAAACAGTTTAATCATACAAAATTTAATCAACCAATTTTTTTTTTCGTTTGTAATGAAAAAAAAAAAAAAACAACTATCCTTCTTAATGTAGGTTTAGAAATGGAGTTCTAAGTTCCTGCAACTAAAAGGTACTACTATTTATGGTGTTCCAAATTAATGGAGAAGAAACAGAAGTTTGGTCTTGGTTAATGCCATTTACTCATTTTCGGTTAAATATAAGGGAATGAGAATTATAAATGTCGAGATCGGATTCAAACCTAATAAAAATCTATAATTTAAAAGAGATAAATGAATTATTTGAATCAAATCTCAAATTTATATATAAATAAAAATTTATTTAGATTATATTTAAGAGTTATTACAAGCTATTCTTGCAACGTAATAATATCAAAATGGAGCCTCGCATTGTAGTCAATAATAAAACAAGCCATCAATCTTTTTGTTCCACAAAATTAAAATTATGAATTTTTTTCATGATAATTATTATCATTAAATATTGAAAATGATTGAATAAAGTTCAATTGCTAGAATTTTGTAAATAACATTCCTTTGAATTTTTGTCATTCAATTAATCTAAATAAATTAAAGTATTTTCTATAAATTACATCATCCAACTAATGAAAATATTTTAACAAAAATTAAATATTTTATAATGCCAATGTTTCTAACTATTAAAAAAAACAAATGTTCATAACTTTAATTTCTTAAAATAAAAAATCAAAAACTTATTTTCAATTTTTAACTAAAATTCCATGGTTTTATTTGGGTATCACTTTGAATATGATACTTGAATGATTGTTTATCCGTTATTTATTATCATTTGAAATTAGTCACATTAAAGTTAAGTACTAAGACTTAGGTAACACATTAGAAATTTTTAAATTTTATATAAGTCATTAAATATTTTATTATAATTTAAGGATCATTCATGATATTAACATTGTTTTTATAAAAAGGTTTTAGTTTGGAATAAAAGAAGAGATTGAAAATATTAAAATTTGAATTACAAATCTGCTGAATATTATCTTTTAAAGATGTTTGCATAAATAAATTTAATTTAATTTAATATTTACTTTGCCTTAATGTAAATAATTAAATTATATATATGGTTCCCATATAATCCTCCACTTGGGAAGTTGATTAAGATTGGCTTAATCTTTTTCCAATCTGTTGACTTTAAGATTTTAATCCTTTGGATTCATTTGTTCATGTATGCATCAAAGTTTCTTTCACCTATTTCTTTAGCATTTTTATATATAATTAAATCATATTTTGCATCATTGTTATTGTTCATGTATTTAAGCTTTTGCCTTAATAGTTAACTCGGCAAAACTATGTACATATGTTTATATTATTAAATGTTATATATTATTTTTAAATTAAAGTGAAATATTTAATATAATATTTAAATTTTAAAATTTTCTAATATAGTATATGAATTATGAATTTATTAATTAATATGATATTTGAAGGATTTTTTTTATCACATGTCATCATTTAAAATTAGTTACTTTAAGGATAAATACTATTTTAATTAATAAATTTATAATTTTGGTACCAAATTAAAAATCTTAAAGTTAAAGTATTATATTAAATATTTTATTATAATTTAAGAGCCATTCATAGTATTAATTCTATTTATATATATATATATCCAATTTTCATCATTTATTTTTCTAGATTAATGAAAAGGTTTCTACTAAAATTCAACCAAATGACAAAAGAAATGAGGTTCAAAGATATATATATATATATACACACACACATATTTATATATGTCAATTCAACCCACAAAATCTCCTAATTCTTTACACGAGGTCTATTAAATTACTTGTTTGCTTTCTTTTTTTCTTTTTTTTTCTTCTTAAATCTTAGTAATAAAAGTTAAAAAAAAAAAAAAAAGGAAAGAAAAGAAATGGGAAATTTTCATAGTGGGTGTCTCTCTAAAAATTGTTGGCGGATGCATGTGCACCACGTCGGCTGATATAGGGATGAGAAGACCATCCCCATCAAGATGAACTAAGGCTGACCTTACATTGTCCCCCTTTCTCGGTAGAGAAAAGGAAAAGAGAGCCTAAGAAAACTCCTTTGTGAAAAAGATAGCATATGACCAATGCTGACAGTTATGTGGCTACAGGGAATAAAGCTGGCCTTTCCCAATTTCACGTTCAGGATAGAAAAAGAACCAAACAAAGCTTAAACTTTTCATTATCCGATACATTCTTTTATTAACTTTTGATATTATGTATGAAACAATCTTTATTTATGGTATATTTGAGGATGGAAAGAAAAGGGGAAAGCAAAATCTTGAGATAGTAATATGGATTCCACGTACCAAAGTGAAAGAAAGTTTTCTTTGCAACCAACATCCATAATATTTTATATAATTTTCTCTAACAATATGAGTAATTCTTTTTACAAGAATTGAGAAAATAATTCCTCTACAACATCTTAAAAAGATAAATAAAAAGAAATACAACGGCTTTGGTTACTCTAGGAAACAAATAATAAGCCATATGTATAGCTTTTCTTTAATCTGCTACATTAATCTTCAACATGATCAACAATAATCAAGAGGATTCACAAGAGGGTATACTTTGAAATTATACCCATTTGATCATAATGGTTAATTAGATTCTTTGCTGAACTTGTATGTTGAAAGGATATGATCACGAAACAATCATCAGCTTTGAGAAAGTTGAATTTGGTGGGTTAACTTGTGGCTTTTCCTTACCAAAATGTAATGTATTTACATGCAGTCACCATATTGCTTAATGTTGTCGTCTCATAAAAACTTAGAAAGTCATAAAAAACACAAGCAGCCAGTACATCAAGATTTGATATTCCATCTTTGCGGCCTGTTTCACAATGAATGCATGCCATAAGTAAATACAGAAGCAAAGCAAAAGGAATAAAAGAAAATAATTGGATAATTTTCTTTAATGTAAATGGGGTTATAGAAGAAAACAAAACCTATGGTTTTACCTTAGCCGCAGAGGAAGCAAGAGAAATGGATGCTGATGATGTTGATGAAGTTGTGGCCAAGGCAGAGAAGCCCGCATTATAAGCCATGGTTCCATCAGTTTGAAAGAGACCGTAGTTCCTTTCGGATGTCGGTCCAGGCTTCATTTCTTCATTGAACAAGGCAAACAAATACACTTCCAGTCTCATATTTGGTCTCAAAGGTGTTCCCTCATTCCTCATCTGCCTTCTCACCAAATTCCTGTTGTAAACAGCCGCATTCTCAACGGTTGCTCCTATTTCACTAGGATCCCCTTTGGACGGCCACCCCGTCTCAGAAACCCTCACCTCGATCCCAGCATAACCCAACCTATACATGGCATAAACAACAGCATCTACCTGTGCGTATAACATGTTGTCATAGTGTAGTTTAGTGAAAGGATCGACCACTCCTGGATTTTTGTTAAAAAGAACATAGTCCAGGGAAATCTTGTTTGGGTCATCCTTGTAAGCAAAATATGGATAGGCATTGATCCAAAATGGAGAACCAGTGCTTGACAGAAACTGCAAAAACTGTGACATGACTCCCGATACCTCACTCTTGAAACTACCAGCAGAAGGAGGGTAAGATTCGTCAAGAACTGCTAATGAACTGGGTGTCGAAACCTGAATGTACTTATCTAGGCCTAATTGAACTAAAGCATCATGGATGCTGAGTATGGCAGGGACAAGATATCCGATTAGTGTTGTGTCGACATCGGTGAAGACTTCATTTCCTACTTGGATCCCGGTGATCTTGGTGGCCGGAAAATAAGGCTTGATGTGGGTACTAACCCATTGAAGTGCTTGTTGGGGATCCATTACGACAGGTAACATTTGGTTTTCAATTGTGACAATTAGCTCAATGTTGGATTTGGCAAATGTTGTTAAAATTTGAGGATTGGTGTCATAGATTCTTGCTTTTGTGACCTTAAGGGATCTTATCAGATCAAGAACCCTGTCGGGTGGTGGCAAACTGCTGCCAACTTGACCATAGTTGATGCCTAGAGATGCAACTCCTCGTAGAAAACCATAAACTATCAAGGAACAAGAAATACATTAGATACAACCTTCAAAAACAGAGAACTAATTTCCATTTTATAAAATGGAATATCTAGGCTTATGCAAATAAGAAATTACTAATGATATGCAAATGGAATGCCGAACAGAAGGAAACAAAATAATAATAATAATAATAATAATAATAGAGGATACCTGAAAAACAGAAAGAAAATAGAAGGAAAGCATGGATCATCATGACAACTCTTCTTAAAAGCGTTGCCATGAGGAGTGAAAGAGGAAGTGAATTCTTTTCTTTGCTGTTTGAGCTTAATTTTGAAGGCTCTCTCAGAGGTTTTAGGATGCCCTAACCATTTTGCCTTTGTTTTCTTACCACCTTAACTGGTTTTTAAGCGACTTGGTTTTCCATTTTCTTCGATTCCATGTCTTTCTTTTGGACTGGCTTGTCTCTTTCCAACACGCAACTTCTCCAAATTTCTTATGGGATTATAACCCAATTGCCCCGCCCACTTTCTTCAGACAGAAGGAAAGGGGAAATCCCCTATTACTTTTTCTACAATTTCTTTTAATAAGATACCGAAATAGTTAAATATGTTGAGACAAGAAATTGGAGGATCCTTAAAGTCAAGGTGGGGTGAAAATTTTAGTGATCAATGAAAGAGTTAATAGTAGAGATGGCAACAGTTCGGATAGGTTGGTTTTTATCACTTCAATCTCAATTCAATTTTATAAAATAAATATTTGATTCGATATTGAAATAATATTTTTTTATACTCAACTCAACTCTACCCGTTTATGTATAAAATGGTAATTGATTCAAATCAAAACAAATTTAATAATTTTAATTTAGTATAATATGCATAAAATATTATTTTTTAATATAAATTATATCTTAATTATATATAAATATAGTATTTTTATTAAGTTAATAATTTAAATTAAAATATTATATAATAATTTTATTAATATAATACATATATATAAATATAAAAATAAATAAATGATAATTATTTGTTTATATATATAATTGGTCGAGACTAGATAAGTTTACGAAAAATTATACCTGACCCAATCCTAAATTTTTTTTCAAAAAACTTGATCTAACCCTTAACTCTATTTTAAAAAAAAAAATTAAAAGATTGGGTCAGGTCAAAATCCCAATGGATTCAGATATATATGCCAACCCTAATTATTGATCCTTAAATTTTGAACAAAATTCTATTAGATCCTTAATTTTTAAAAAATTTAATTGAATTCTCAATTTTTAAAGTTATTTTTATTTTAATCCCTCCGTTAGTGAAACTATTTAGATTCACAATAAATGGTTTATATCACATTGGGTCACATTATTTAACATCTCACATGACAGAAAAAAAAATTAAAATAAACTTTTCCTCAAATTTTAAGAATGACGAATAATACTATTAACTTTCGATAAAATAAAATAATGATAATAGATTTTTACTTAAATCTAAACAATATCTTTTTTTTTTTTTATCTTTTAAGTTATATTGAAATTTGCATTCAAAATATTCAATCTTAAAATCGATTCTAATAACATTGCACTAACAACGCATTATTAATATAAACAATATCTATTATCCTTAGCTTACTGTCCCTTTTAAGGCTTAGGTTCTTCTATGACAGTAACTTTTATGTAAAAGGACAACAAGGGTCAATGATGATTATATGACTCATTTTAAGTTTTTAACCAACAAGCCTCCTTTATCCTTTAAGTGGAAATTACATAAATAAATATAGTAGTTTTCTTTTCCCTTTGCATATGTGCCCCAATAAGATCGTAAAGTGGGAAGAAGGGCAGAAATGTAGGCTGCAATTGGTTAATGAAAATATTTTTTATTTTATGAATTTTAGAAAACATGTTTGATACACAAAATGAAAATTTATTTTCAAAAATAAAAATTATGAAAATATGTTTGGTATGTTCATTTTAAAAAAATGAAAATAATAATTAAATAGTTAGATGCAAAAGGTGTGACAAAGATTATCGTTTTCCATCTCTGATCTCAAATTCCATTGTTTAGAAGGTTTATTAAACAAGAGTATTAGTCATTGTATTAATCTCTTGTAATTTTTTCCTTAATAAGAAATATTGTTGTTTGCATTATATCAAGCAAATGATTTTTCGAATATATTTTTGCTTGCCTACAGAACTTTTCTTTTCTTTGTTGAAGCTTAGTCCAATAATTAGAATTCAAAATTTAATACTTACCAACATCTTCTCTTATTTCTACACTTCAACCTCCCTATATAAAAAAAAAAAAAAAACTAAAATCATTCTGTCTTCTTCCTAAAAAAATCATTACATGCCAAAAAATATTCTCTTTTATTTTCCAAGGAGATCGAATTTGGATCACAATTAAATTATAACTGATTTTTTCAGTTCATTGACCAAGCTTACATATTTTTTTTTATATTCCATTGTTAGGAAATTTTAAATACAATATTGTACCATGAGTCACTATATGCAATAATGATAAGATGATTGACAGTTGGGTTTCTCCTTCAAAGAAAAAAAGGGTTCAAATCCAATTAAAACTATTTACTTTGGATTGTAATTTATATATGAAGCTTATAACTTGAAGAAAGAAAAAGCTAGGAAATAAAAGAGACATTGAGATCAAGTTGAATAAAGTTGTAAAATTGCTTTTTTAGAAGGAGACAAACATGGTGTAATGGTTTTAGTGCATTTTTTTTCCTTTAATTTGTTGGGAGATTTTTTTCAAAAGATTGTAAAATAAGACCTAAGTAATTGGGCCAAAGAGAAACCCAATTGATAAGTAGATTTGGTGAGTAGATGAGGAATGATATACCTAGAAATTTTCAATGGTAAATGCCCTTATCTTAAGTTTACGATTCTTTTTAATTTTTTTAAGAGTTTAAATTATTTTAATATGATTTTAAAAAGTAAATTAATATTTAAACACAAGCAAACAAGTTTTACATTATTTTATTTTAAAAAATTTCCAACGGCATTTGTCTTTCTCTTAAATTTATGATATTAAATATAAAAGCTTAATATTATATATTCAGTCTTTGTGAATCAATTCTGTTTTAACCTTATCCTAATTTTGAGTATAAGATATCTATTTTTGAAGCATGAAAGTTGTATTTTTTTTTCTTGATGACATGGTTGTATTTTTTCCCTTTGGTATGATACGAAATATGGTATATTTTTCACAGCATTATTCTACCAAAAAAATTAGGAAAAAATAAAAAAATTTCTACAGTACTCGAGGTTATGTGATCATCAAGAATTGTTTTGGATAAATAATTTTTTTTTTCAAAATTAAAAAAAAAAAAAACCAATCTACTATGTAAAAATTAAGAAAGGTAAAGCTAGTATAGATCTAATTTTGTTGATTTATATTCCAGTTTTTCCAAAAAAAAAAATCTCTGTAGAGTATTTACATTTACAAAAATAACAAAAGAAAAATCAATTCTTACAGCAGCAACAAAGAGAAATATATTTTTTGGATCATGAAGAAATTAACAGAAGAAAGACTCGTATTGCTAATGAGATTGTCAGTCAACAAACAATTAATAAACTTACATGAATCATTTAAAAGAATAGTGAAGATGTTTACTTTATCAACCATATATGTTATTCAACAATGGAGGCAATTACCCAAGCAAAAAGATGAACAGAAGTGGGGTAATTAAATTAAACTCCTTTATTAAAGTAAAGATGATGCACCCAAAAAAAAACCCTAAAAAATCTTGGCTGCCATTTTCACGCAGGGAAATCAGTTAACAGTCAAAAGAAGAGACTTTCTATTGCTGCACATGTCCTAATTTCTACTAGCTAGCTATTTGGCTGCCATGCATGCATGCAAGCATTTTCCATGAGGGACTCTGCAATGCCCCGTTAATTCTTGTCACCTTCCATTAAGTTTTAGATTTTTGCTTACTATATGTAGGATTTGGGGGATCGTGGCAGAATCTAACGAGTCGTTGTCAAGGTTGAAAAATATAAATGTTGAGATTGAAATTGGTTATGTGCTTGGGATACTAATCCTTTACCTGCCCTTCCTTTTCACTAGTTTTATCACACACGTAAATGGAGGAGAGGGTTGGCTTTTTGATAATTTCTTGATTAGATGTATATGTCCCTCCATGTACGTAGTGTTCTAGTTAAACCGACTAATGTACAAATAAGTCCTCTAAATGAGCCAGCTGATAGCTTGAACTTTGATTTTTATTTTCATAAAAGTCATGAACTGATCAATCTAGGCGGCTTAATTAATCCTAAGGATAATTTTAAAAAATAAACCCTATGGATCGGATCAATTTGCAATTTAAAGTAAATTTTAAAAGCACTACTGATTATTTTACTAAAAAAACTAAGACATTATTAGGTGATTAGAAACCTTAAATTGCTTCATGCTAAAAAAAAAAAGAAACTTTCGATTTAAAGGAGTCATTTTCATCAATTCTCTGTACATGTATATATATGTATATGTTAGTAATATTCCTTTGAGAAACCAACTTATCTCCCTTTACAAGAAAAAGTGGAGGGCAGAAAAAAGATTCATATTAGGTTTAAAAATGTAAGAAATCGTTACACAATTTTCCAAAGAGGGGACAAACTTTGAATGGATTTTACATTGAAAAGGAAGCAAGGCAATCTCTAGCTAAGTTTATTTCTGGATGATGGTTTGCAACAAAGGTTATCATCATGATAAGATAAAGCCGATAGAAAGAAATGAAAAGCAAGAATTGTTATTGGTTACATGAAATTTCTTCCCCTGGCAAAAGGGATTTTGCCTTATTTTGCAGTTATGGTGGCGCCCATCTGACATGTTGAACCCACTTATTATTTATCCGTACCGTGGCCAGTTACATGTTGAACCCACTTATATTATCCGTGCCGTGGCCAGTGACATGATATATTTATATATAGGATAAATTCAAAAAGCTTAATTGATGATCTAGAATTTCTTTTCTTTTTTTTTTTCAAATCTAGAATTTTTTATTGATTTTTAATACAATTTATTCAATTAATTGATTTTTAATACAAAATAAATATTTGATGGACAACCATTTTATATATATCTATGGTTAATTTAAAAAAGAAGTAATGGGAACATTAGGTTTGACAAATGGTGAATAGTACAAATTGGTTTGCTCAATTCTTCTCATGTATGGAAGCGATCTCAATGGACGGGTCTTGTGTTTGAATGGATGTTATTGACTAATTATTTGAATTTGATCAGTTCCCTTAGTTCAAGCTTCTAGAGAGTTGCATCTCGCTGCTCCAGAAAGTAAAAATAATTAGGTCCATATAAGAAAACTTTGAAAATATAGCTTTTGTTTTTCTTCAAAAACTACAATAAAAATGAGCTTTAATTAATTAGCTAAAATACCTGAAAATTCTATCTTAAAGTTTCTATAAAATGTTTTCATATATATATTTACTAAACATTTATTAATCTTAAGTATTTTAAATAATTCCAATTGACAATACATATTTGAAAAACCATATGGTACTTTTTTTATGAGCCCAAATTAACCGATTCTACTAATTTCTTTCAGTTGATTTGGGTTTATGTTATCTACTTTAGTCTTCTTGCTCAATTACGTCGAATACTATTTTTTGGGATATATTTTTGTATTCTTTTATTACGAATATTTTTATTTTTTATATTTAAGATTATTAAAAATTGAATCTCGATTACTAAAATTAAAAATATAATAATCTACCAATAAATCTGCACATAATTATTAACTTAAGAATATCTTTATGATGATATTAATGCGTTTCTTTATTTTTAATCTCATTAGATAAAAAATAACTCATTAGCTATATTTACTTGTGCTTGGTTTATGTTTTTTTTTCTTTATCGGTGAAATGAGTCTAGCTTTTTATTAGTAGTAGTATTAATTTTAAATAGAAATCAGTCTAGCTTTTTTTTTCTTGTTCACTATAGTAGTGCTATTTTAATATATAAAAATTAGTTTATTAGTTGTTTTCTAATGATAAATGCTAATTTTTTTAAATAAGTCAAACAAATTTTGTTAAGCAATCAGATGATTACAAAGTTGGAACTACCTAACAATAAAAAAAATAATTAAAAAATATCAAACGCATGAACCGTAAATTCTCTATATACTAAAGAGTCTTTAAGATTGAAAAAAAAAAATGAAGATAATAAATACAGAAAATTATCCTACCAAATATCATACTTAGCCTTTTTTTTTTCTTTTAGATTCCATATCTAGTTGCGTGTGCTTTAATTTGTAGTATTTGTGCTCTTCCTTGGTTGTACTCCGAAGAAGAGTTGACTGAAGAAACGAGAATGAAAAAGCACCAAGTATTTGCCTATGCATGCGGTACGTTAGGCGTGGAGTCTTGAACTGCCATTCATTTCAACGACCCCAACCGATATAATTAACCAACTAAACTCCAAAACAGAACCACTGGCTTTAACTGCATGTGTTTAATTTAGAATCGAAGAAGGTAAATCAATCATTAATTCCCTCTGGGAAAAAAAATAGAATTAAAAAAAGGAAATAATCTGTAAAATTGAAAAAAAAAAAACCTTCATTATTGATTTAACGAAGCAACATTAAACCATGATGAATTAATAATATAAAAAAATGAGAATATAGATATATATTCAAACACATCCGAAAATAATGCAAATTCTAGCTAGTCAGCCCACAACCACTTCAACTCGTCCACCGGCGGCGCCTCCAAGATCATTCTATCCAAGTCTTTAAAAGATAAACCCTTAGTTAGCATGGAAACATTAAATCCAGCACCAGGACCAACACCAGAGCCGACGCCCACGGTGGCAGTGCGTCCAGTGCCACATGACCCAGCTGCACCCTTTACAGCAACCTTTGTTTCGGTTTTTCCACCGTAAAACGAGCTCTCCTCTATCCATGTAACGCAACAATCCTTGCCTGTAAGCCTTTGAACTACAGATTTGAAGCTGAGGGCGTCAGTTTCAACGTACTGTGTATCAATCAACACCACCTTAACATCTTCATGAGATTTAGCAGTTACCGCCATTGAAAAAAAAAAAAGAAGGAATTGGCAGTTAACACAGCTAATTAATTCTTTTCTTGAAAACTTGCGTTAGATGTGTATGCAAGTTGAAACGTGGGTTGGAGGGTTATGGGGGAATGGTTTTATATAGGGATCAAGATGAAGGCATCGATACCAAAAAGGTGGGGTTGGGGTGTGGGGTTGGACAGTTGTTGGAGAAAAGGCACCAAGTTGAGTGTATAAAAGGGGAATAAGCAGTCTCGATGGACCGAAGTCCGAGTCAAAGCAAACCGATTTGTAACAAGGAAAGAAACAAATTAAAGGAAGTCATCGTCAAAGCACGCATGCAAGGAATTGTCGAAGATCTTTCCTCTATGGGTTTTTATTCATTCACGTGACCGGGCCAAGAGACTTTGAATTTTTTTATATTTATTTTAAAATTCATAAAAAATTATGCTTATTTATTAATAAAATAGTATTGTATAATTGGTTGATTATACAAAATTTATAAACTAATAGTATATTAATTAATAATAAACTCGTATATATTTATGCTTATTATATACTTAAAAAAATCACATCTAAGCTTAGAAAACATATCTATTGACAACTTTATTATATTAGACCAGGAGGGAAATTAAATTCATACATCTTCAACATTTTTTTGCAAATTATTCTTCATATACAATACGGTAGTCAAAATGATTGAATGTTTGACTAATAGAGTAGTTCAATTATTTAAAATATGTACCATTTAATTTTGTAACATCTAGCTAATCTTGGCATATTGAAGAGAATCATAGGCTCCTTGGATGAGTTGCCTCTAGGGATGTAAATCGGTATGGTACCCGCTACTTTTAAGGGATTTGTATTCGAACCCGATTATTTATCAAAATATTCGTGATAATATCTTAACACATTTAAATTTTGTGACCCAAATTCATTATTAAAAAATATTTTTAAAATATAAAAATATGATTGAGTAAACAACTTAATTAAAAAAAAAATGTTAAGTTATTAAAATAATTTAAGGTCTTGTTCTTAAGATCAATAATATAATTTTAGACTTAAAAGACAAGGCTTTATATGAAAGCAATCAATTATGTTAAACATCCAAGGAGAGTAGTTGATTGCCAAAGACATGGAGTCGATTGTTTTGACAAACAAAAGTTAAAACTTAGATTCTATATAAAGAATAGATGATTGTCAGCCTAAAACAATCCGACTACTATAGTTGAAAGTGAGAAAAATCCAAATTCTAATAGAATCAATTGTTATTGATTAATTATTTTATGAAAAATTGATCAATATTATAACAGTAGATTGCTATTGAAGAGAAATAAACTGCTGTAGAATGTTGAATGTGAAAACTTTTTGAAAATTAAAAAGAGTCGACAGTTATTATATGAAGTACTCGACTGCTCACATGATGAATGTATTCTATATAATGAAAAGGAGTTGATTGCTCTATAAAGGAGTCGACTGTCCTGTTACAAAAAGCATTTTGAAAATTAGAATTATAAAGAGGTAGCTGATTGTTTTCTTGGAGCTATCGACTGTCACAATAAGAAATATTGGCATAATTGACAAAATTTTTCAGATAGTAATTACCGAAAAATGTACTTGTAAAAAAATTTGACCATCACCGATGGAATACAGATAGATTACTAGCGAAATTTATTGATAGATTTAATTTCATTGGTAATTTGTAGATAACAAAATGATGCAATTTTATCGCAAAATTACAGACAAAATTTTTCATCAATAAAAAAAATTACAAAAAAAAAATTTAATGGATTTACTGACGAAACTTACCAATGAATTAGTAATAGATTTTACCGACAAATTTTTCGTCTGTAATTATTGATGGATTTTACTTATTATCAACGGAATAATATTATTAACTTGTCTATCATCGATGAAAAATTTCATCAGTAATGTTAATACTAACGAAAAATTAGCTTTTATTGACGAAAATTTTCATCAATAAAAACTATTTTTTTGGTTATGTGTTCTACATGAAAAGTTGTAATTTTCAAAAATATGAAAAGTTGTAATTTTCAAAAATATGAAAAGTTATAATTTTCAAAAATGTTAAAAATGATTTATATTTGTGTGAAAAGTTGACCATTCAAATGAATAATTATATTTGTAATCTTTTAAAGAAACATATTTATAATAAAAAAAGTGATTTTTTATTAAAACAATACAATAAAAAAACCACAATCTTATTATTTAATCTCTATAAATAGAGATTATGAGTGTTTGCTTGAATAAGATCAATAGAATTGATAATTCAGAAACTCTCTTTTTCCATTTTCTCCCATTCTTGCCAAAAATGGCTACTTTGACATAATTTTTGTATAAATTAACGTTCAAAGGTTGATGTTTTTGTTTTCATTCAAGGATGTTTAGCGATTTGATATCATAAGTATAATGTGAAATAAAAAAGGCTTTATTGTATCTATAAGGTATTTCAATTATAGCCCTTTTACATATCATACTTGATAGAAACAAAATAAGCCTTAAAAAGAAAAAGGCATTTGTAGCATACCTTGCAATCATTTTTTTATTTTTTGAAAGATTAATTTGAATAAAAGGGAATACTACTACCAAAAATATAAGTAGGTTATCATCAACTTTAAAAATCATGAAGATGCAAGCTTTGGATATGAGAATTTACTTTTAAAATATAGGTAATATCCATTAATTACCCAAACCAACTAAAGAAAAAAGATCGTATGAAATAGTTACTTCATGTTAATATAGGTATTTTCCTTTCAAATCATGTTATAACATTAATGAGAAAAATTAATCATTTATTACACATCACATGCATAAATCTACTAAAATAAATAATTACCATTTAATTATCACAAGTGATATGTAATAAATGATTAACCTTTTTCAATAAACATGACATAATTTGAATAGAAGAGACATATGCTAAGGTAAAATAACTATTTCATATAATACTTTTTTACCCGTTAAATACCTATTTATTAAATCAAAGTTTGACTTTCAAACTTAAATTTAAAATCAATTTTAATACATATTATTGAAAAAAATTAAATTAATAAATTATAATTAAAAATTATAATTTAAATATTTAATGAATTAATTTAGTTTAACATTACATTAGTAATAAATAATTTAGAAATAAAAAATATAATATTAAAAAGTTTATTATTTATAATCAAGTTCGGATTGTGAGTACCTTATGATCATTACTCGAGCCCCACCCATACCCATAGTAAATAGTAATTTTACTATTTAAACTCTATCCAAACCAAATTATAAGATACTATGATCCTGCTTAATCGGGTTAGATAATTTCATATACTCATTTATAATATATCATTACTACAGGTGTTTATGGGTCACGTCAGGTTTATATTTGATATTAATAACTTATATGTTTACTCAAGTTTGGTCTAAATTGATATTTCGAGCCTCAAAATTTTTTTAAGCTTGGCAAAAGATGAAAAAATAAATCTCAAATTTATCCATTAAATTTAATTTGTATAATAAACGATTAAAAAATAAAAAAATATTTTTTTAAAAATAAAATATTAAAATAAAAATGTACATATATATTTATATAATTATAATATTTTAATTATATATATTTTATTCATACAGGACCAAGCTAAATTTGGATTTTAATTTGTTTGTTTAAGACTCGACTTGAAATTTAAATCAATTTAAAAGTTGTGTTTAAATTCATTTAACTAATTTTAATTTTTTATTCAAACTTTCTCAAAATTTAAGCAAACATTCATATCTAAATGAGTAATCTAACCCCTTGAACAGGTTTAACCATTTCCGCTCATAGTTGATATATATATATATATATATATATTATACGTGGAGATTCTTATGTCAAATTAATTGAACCTTTCAATATTCCTATCAAACTGATGAGCAACTTGTGCAGCACGTAGTTCTGGATAAGCACACCCCAGCACCAAGTTTCTTGAAAAACCTGCAGGAGCGATTCCGCAATGGTTTGCTAGTTGTGGCATAAGACAAACATTTCAGGTCCTGTATTTAGTAGCTGGAATATAAGCCCTTGGAGATAAACAATAACATAATCCAATTATACCAACAAGTGATTGGATCAATTGGTTAAGGTCGTTTTTTTTACGAAGAGATTTTGAGTTTGAATTCTGCTGGCTGGTGATCATTTGTTGGAATCATTTCAAATGCACGACCTGCAGTCACCTGTTTTAGGTTATTAGATATGGCACATCTTGTCCTAATTATAATATGGAAGACTGAACAATTTATTTATCCCTTAATTTTTCTTACAAAGAAAAACATAATCCAATTATTAGTGGGATGCAAATTATAATCCATGTTTTATGTGTTTTGCATCCTTGAACAAAAGAACAAATTTTTACCTATGGCTGCAATTAGAATTCGGAAGAAACAAAAGGAAATAAGCTTTATTTCCTGGAATTTTTTTTCTGGTGCGGATAGAATCTTGAGGAAAAAAGATTCTTTGGTCATCAAAGGAAAATGCATGCGGCTGCTGTCAACTTCCTTTGTTTCCAAGTTCTACAGGTACATATGGGATGAAAAGAGGAAAAGGAAAAGGGTATTCCAAGTACAGGAAACCTTCCCTTCTTATAAACTTTCAAATCTTTTGTCTTACTCTCTCCATTCCCCACCTCAATCTATATGTCAACCCTTTCGTTGTTGGCGTAGGCTTGTTGATTACGTCCTGGAAATTTCATCAACAACCCTGGTTCAATTAGCCAGGCTACCTTGACTCGAAAAGTTAACAAGGGCATTGGAAAAGAAAAGTTGTAAGTAGTTCTAGCCAAGGGTTTACTATTTCTTTAGTTTTGTCTCCAATCCAGGCTTTAACCTTTTAAGATTTGGATCCAATATTGGATTTTGCAATGGGCCAATCGTTAAGTAAACCACAAAATCAAATATCCCAAATCCAAAGGCCCAGTCAATCATCAGCATTTCACTGTCCCCGGCTCCCAGCAGGCACCGACCAAAGCAAGCCCTCTCGCTCGCAGCTCTTCACCAAACATTTTTTACCAAAAAAAAAAAAAAAGAAAACATTTCATTTCTTTATTTTCTCTCTCCCTCTTACAAATTTTTATGTTTTGCTGCCTTCTCAAATCTTCCCCTTTTCTCTCTAAGAGGAAGCCAACAACGCTGTAATAAGAGAAACACG